ACTCTTAAAAATAAAGGTGCTTCAAAAGGTTCTTCAAGCGATGCCATAGAAGAACCATTTTTGGTTCCACAAAGAACCATTCAGTCAAAGGTTCTTTAAAGAACCATCTCTTTCTTACCTTTTTATAATCTGAAGTACCTTCTTTTGCCACAAAGAACCTTTTGTGAAACAGAGAGGTTCTTCTGATGTTGAAGGTTCTTTATGGAACCATTTAGACAAAAAAATTATTCTATGGCATCACAAAGCACCTTTATTTTTAAGAGTGTAAATGAAGGCGGATTATATCAAATGGATCATCAAACAAAAAACTTTATTACTGTTTATTAACGAGCTGCAGTTTTATTATATCACGTGCTGACAGAGATGCAGTATGATAATGCCACGGGTCATCAATAAGGTGCATAATGAATCTGGGTCCTCCAATTTCAGTACATTAAGCCATGATAAGCTGTTTTTTCCACGTTTCAGAGTGTCCACTCCCAGTCCCAACACACTTTTTCACAGCGCACACTCAAATTGCGCTCAAACTCATCAGGTGTCAACAAGCTGACAACTTCTTCAAGTGACTGCTGCAGGACGCACGCGAGGGAGAGACGTGGCAGTGCAGATCGCACGTATATGATGTAAATGTGACACTTGTGGGAGTTATTAACATTGTGCGCAATACCCCCACAACCGCACACCAAATTTCAGGGCCTGTAGGCTAGCATATACAGATTATTTAATAAGAAGAAATACGAAATTTACCTTAACATATTAGAGGAAGATGCTGATAACTCGAAGAAGTTTGAGAACTTCAAGTGTTGCTTGAAGGACGTGCTTCCAGCAGCCATGATTATCACCAGCTGGCGGTTAATGTTTTCTATGCACATTTTGATTTGACAAGAGTCACAAGAGTCAAGACCAATTACTCTCTCCCTATCCAATCACACTGATGGATTAAAACATGCATGTAACAACCACAAACGAAGGGTAAATAGTGGAGTAAAAGTACAGATACATCACTTAAAATGTACTTGAGTAAAAGTAAAAGTACACAATTTTAAACTACTCAAAAAAGTACAATTGCTGATCAAAATGACTTAATTACAGTAACGTGAGTATCTGTAATTCGTTACTTCACACCCTGGTGACAAACCATTGAAGGTCTTGTAACAAATTACGCACCGTGACCTGCCTGACTCTTGTCTGGGCACTGATCAGGGAGTCGGCTATTGCAAGGCCATTTTAAGGTCTGTCTCAAATGCAAAATCCTTCCAGTGAGTGCGCTGGAACATTTGCTCCCTGAAAAATCCCACAATGCACTGCAAAAACTAGGGATAATCGATGCTCCCTTACCGGTAGTGACGTCACATTTTTGAAGCTCAAAACATACACCACACAAGCCAACTCGATAAATATAATTAAAAGCGATAGAAGATTTGAAAAGACAAACCCATTTTTTTGTATATTTCAGCACAAACACACATCGCTAGACCTGTATCATAATCAGAAAGAGGTTTGTAGTGAACACATCTAGTTAACATTTATAATTAATATTTGGCTGAAATGTTGTAGGAATATGTAACTGAACAGTGTGTTTAAAGAGAATAAAAAATAATATCAAAAAGAGGTTGGTCCTGCCTGTTGTTGATTAATACCAGCAGTGACGTTATACGTTGTCATGTCGCTAGAAATTGAGTAATCATTGTCCCAATGTGCAGTGAGTCAGGGAACTTACCAGTGCCCGGATTCGTGTACACGATATACTGATTCACGAGCTCAGGAGCTAGGAAGCTGATTGAGATGCATCCTAATAGTACTAAACATGCTGCCGCTTGTCAATAAAGGGATAGTTCACCCAAAAATCTAAATTCTGTCATTACTTACTCACTCTCATGTTGTCCAAAGCCTGCATTCATTTTCTTTGTCGTGCTGAAAACAAAAGAAGATATTTTGAAGATTGTGGGTAACCAAACAGTTGCTGATCCCCATTGACTTTTATAGTAGTAAAAAAATAATAATACTATGGAAGTCACTGGGGACCAGCAACTGTTTGGTTACCCACATTCTTCAAAATAACATTTGTTCAACAGAAGAAAGAAACTCATTCAGGTTTAAAACAACTTGAGAGTCAGTAAACGATGACAGAAATGTCATTTTTGGGTGAACTATTCCTTTGTTAATAAAACAACAAAACATTACTGTTGACTGAAGAACTTTAATACAGTTGCTTTAATAAGAATCAATGTAGAATTTATACAGTGAAGTGTATATAGTGTTGTATTTATACATTTGTTCATTCAATTTCTTGAATGCTACTGCTAAATACACCTACTCTACCTGAAAAATAAAGCACTGTTTGTTTTATTTGTATATTATGTGTGTTTGTAATGTGTATCTTTGTTCTCATTTTTTAATAACAAAGATAAAATAATGACAAAGATTTTTGGCCAAAATATCTGCCATTCTTTTTGATTTTATATTTTGTTACCTTGGAAGGCTTTGTTTTTAAAATAGGGAAATTAGTTGGGCTGTACTGCTCAGACAACTTGCAAAATAGTAAAACCAACATGACAAGGAATCATGACACAATCACAAAGTGTGATTTTCCTGAGAAAAATCGTGATATGATATTTTAGCCATATCACCCACCCCAACCTTACACTTTGAGCGGCATACCTTTAATACATAAAACAAAACCCAGAGTTGTAAACTAGCAATTCAGCCAAAGCTGCACACTTGCAGATGTGATTAAGTAGGGTGCAAGGTTGTGATAGATCTGCAAACGCTGTCAAAAGC